GAAGGGTGATGACTTTTCAGGAAGTCACCTGTCTTGAGGAATTGTGCTTAAAATAAATGATATATGGGCTTTGTATAGTGCTTTTCTACCTTTGGTACTAAGAGCACTCTAACACTGTTTCTTCATTTACCTACTGATGACATAGCATCAGGAGCAACAGAGGGCTCAGTATCTTGCTCAAGGACACTTCAATGTGGTTACAAGGTTTGAGGATTGAACCCACAACCTTTCGGTTGGGCGACCCGTCTACCACTGAGCCATGCCGACACCAATGAACTTTGTTGACCAGATTTTTATTCATTTACTAGTCAATATAGTGTACATTTCACCCCCACCCCTTTAATAATATAAAACCTTTAAAATTCCGATGTTGAATGTGATGCGGTTGAAAATTACAGTGCTTCTATCTTTCGTGCTGGTGCCACCAAGAAAGGAAGTTGGGCTGACCAGTGCAAAAAGTTGGTTGAGAGCACTGCTCGTGTCTTTCAAATCAAAAGTCATTTTCAAATTCAAATCGTTTTTTTTTAACACCCCCTAATAACTAGGGGAGAGTTTTCAAGTTGTGAGCAATGCCCCATGCATCCTGTTAGCAATTGGTCTTCACCTCCTCCCAAGAAAGTTTGCAACCCATGGCCTCTCCACACTGTGCGTGTAATTGTTGAATTTTAATGGTGCCTCTTGAACAAGAAGAGTTGTTAGCAGGGGGCCAAGCCTTGAAACTCTCAAGAATCTGTTAATAGGGCTCATTTACACAGGGCCCCGTTCTGTCTGCTAAATCTCGCTAACCCCTATCTGGCTTCTCCTTGCTGCGATGAACTGCCCTTTCAAACATCAGACATCCAACTTTCGAACAACTCAGTTCCGGAATATTGCAATCTGTCAACCCCCTAATATTACCATTTAGATGTTTCAGACGCAAACATGAACAACAATTTTGACTCAACTGAACTGACATATTTATTTAAAAAGAAAAAATCATGGATAATGCATGAGCAATAATTGCTGAACTGCTGTGGCTATGCTCAGATCCTCATTGACTGTACTGTACAGCTGGAGAAATACAAGGCTCCCCTCCAGGTGAGGCCATCTGTTGAAATGTCTGTGTGATTATGTCAGAGCATGACATCCCCCCGTCAACAGGTTTCAGCTTTAAATTGAGAAATGGCGTCTGAGTCCAAAATAGAAAGGCCTTTGTCTGACCTGATCAAGAACTCTTACTGAGCTCACCTCTCAGGATGGAAGTGCAGCATGCCTTTTTTTTTTTTTTTTTTTTTAATTTTTTTTTTTATTACTGAACTGACATATTTATTTAAAAAGAAAAAATCATGGATAATGCATGAGCAATAATTGCTGAACTGCTGTGGCTATGCTCAGATCCTCATTGACTGTACTGTACAGCTGGAGAAATACAAGGCTCCCCTCCAGGTGAGGCCATCTGTTGAAATGTCTGTGTGATTATGTCAGAGCATGACATCCCCCCGTCAACAGGTTTCAGCTTTAAATTGAGAAATGGCGTCTGAGTCCAAAATAGAAAGGCCTTTGTCTGACCTGATCAAGAACTCTTACTGAGCTCACCTCTCAGGATGGAAGTGCAGCATGCCTTTTTTTTTTTTTTTTTTTTTAAATTTATTTGCTTAATGTCATGAACCCTTTCAGGGACAGCGGTTACTACAGTGAACAGCTTATCATGTTATCAGGTTACAGGGTGCATGAAAGGGTTAAGGTCACTTTGTCTTCATGGGTGGATGGATGATTACAGTTGGCCGCTCGCATCAAAAGGAGATTAAAAGGCAACATATCATTTAGTAAAGTGCAGACCTCTGCCGAGTGGACAACAAACTAAGGGTCGTCAACTTGTTGACTCGACTACTCCACAATGATGGTTTAAAGTGTAACGTCGACTAGTCGCTAACAGTGTCGGGCTAATTACTTGCAGAATGCACTTGGTTACAGCTGCGGCTGTTGTGACAGCGCTATATAAATGAAGATGTATTTTATTATTTGCGACTTGCATGTGAGCGTAATGTTTCCAGTCTTACTTTCTGTGTAGAGTGAGCTTCTTATTACTGCAAATTTCGCATTTTCCTTTTAAAATGTTGAAAGCACGACTGGATCTTTATATATTGTGGGGTATCATGTTAAATGTTTCGAATCTATGGGGGGAGGTCACAGACTTTGATTAATACTTGTGGCAATAACAAGATTTTTTTTTTTAAATACACATTTTGTGGAAACAGAGAGCGAATATTTGATAATTGGCCTAACATGTCATAGTGATGGATAAAGTATAATTGATAATTGTTTCACTGAAAAATGTGGTCTGACAAACAATGACTTCACAGCGATGTCATGTCCTGATTATGGCGTGAAAGCAAAAAAAAAAAAAGCGTTCCAAAGAGAAATTCTTTCGAATATTGACTCAACTATATCTATTACTATTAAAGTAATGCAAGTAATTCTGCCTGTGAGATTAGTTCCATTAACAAATCTACATTGTAAATAGTTTAATGGACTGCCTTCTATTTTTATTTACTTTTTTTCTTTTTGCATCTAATCTTGGGTTGTGGCCCCAACATTTGTAAATTGTTACCGGACTCAGTAATTATAATAGTTTTACAAAAATGTAATGAGTAACTCGTTAAACATAATATATTACTGTAACGTTTCTCCAAAGGAGACCCCAAAAACCTGGTTTCCCACCGCTCCACAGTCAGAGCAGTGGGGCTCAGGTGATAAAGTGTCCTGTCTCCCAATTGGAAGGGTGTGGGTTCATTCCTTGGACCTTCATTCCCTTTTTAATGATTTTTTTTTTTTAACAAAGACTATGCACGTAAAATTTAATCAAAAACAATATTTGTATTATTTGCTTAGAATTTCTATGTGGAAAAAGGCCAGGCATAAATCACTTGTACACACACCTTTGGGGGTGTACGTTTTCTCATGTCAAAGTCATCCGGCTCATTTGTTGACATTTCAAATAATATGTAAACATTCCCCAAATGCTAAATTTGATGTAATCTCCTTACAAAGTGAGGTCACATTTTCTGATGGTGAGCAACAACAATCAGTGCTGCATTCAGCCATGCATTAGATGTGTTTTATCAGTAGCTTAAAGTTTTACCAAATCATTTGCATTACAGACGTATGGACTCCTAATAGTGATGCAATTTAAAAGTGCTTTTATTGTGCCCACCTGGACCCTGCCTCCACAGGATCTTTGTTGAAAAGCCCTGTCATTTGTATTTTGTACCATCTTACTTTCTCGACACCGCCCATTTTCTTCTCACTTGTTTTCTTTCTTTTTGACATTTTTCCTCACTATCTTGCTCACAGCGAGCTGCGACAAGTCAAGCCTGAGTCAATCAGATCTCAGTAAAAGTGAGGACGAATCGAAAGTTGGAGGCAGGGGTCAGATGCAACGTGCTTAGGGTTTGTAGCCTGCTGCTAACCTTAAATTATTGGTCGATAAATAGAGACGCTCCGATCAAGCATGAACACGGTGCTCTTGTGTTTGACGCTGACGCGGGCGATTCACTCGGCCAGCTATGGGCCTGCATTGCGTTTGTTGTAGCTTTGTTGATATGATTGACATCATCGCCTGCAGGCAAACTTCGAGCATGAATTGGCCTGTATTTGTATCATAATAGGTCGTACATACGTTTTGTGAAAAGACGGCTGTGTGTATTGTAAAATATATAGAAAATAAAGCCGACAAAAAATTAAAGAAAAAAAAACGTCGATTCGGCCTTTAATGGCTCATTCATTCAGGATTTCCCCGACATTCCTGATGGCCACCACCACCCTGCGCCTTGCTGTGTGTTTCAAACCCATGTAAACAATATGACACAGTATCAAAGGAGAAAGGTGCATTCTTCCACGGTCATGATGAAGTCCAAGATTACTTGCAAACATTGCAAATAACCCCCATGCAGAACCCGCTGCTGTGATGGGCCCACAACAAGGACAAAACAAGGTTTCCCTTTTTGGCCACGGTGCGCAAAATGTTACCTGCCTTTCCCAGTCGTAAGCACACCGAGTGATAGGATTGATTTATTTCAGCTTTTTTTCTGAATGGAACATTATCACTTCACAGCGTTGAACCATGTTGATGCTCTTGTGTTGTATGTAGCATGTATGTTCTGCGTAAACCATACATCTTGTGTATGAGTTGTCCATTGTCTGTGAATATTGGTTATTGCAATGCAGTCCCTCCTCTGGTGTGTTTTTTTTTTTCCTCAACAATTTTTTTGCACCACTGAAAAACCATCAGTGAAGTTAAAAGTTGATGTCGGCACGACTTATCATGTTTATGTTGACTCAAAATTTGAAATTGTTCAACCAGTACAGCACACTCTTTCAGTCGTTTGCTTGCTGTACATACAGGAAATGTGTGTGTGTGTGTGTGTGTGTGTGCGTGCGTGCGTGCGTGCGTGCGTGCGTGCGTGCGTGCGTGCGTGCGTGCGTGCGTGTGTGTTTGGAATCGATTCCCTTTCAAGGCAGAACAGAACAATTGTCATTTGTCCTCGCTTTGACCTGTGTGTTCCATGTTTAATGCAGACAAATGTCAGCGTATGGTCAGGGGATGGGCTTTGACTAATTGCTGGATATTTGCAGATCATGTTCTCTCATGACATTGCGGATATGCTTGGTCAACATTCCCTCATTGGGATCGTATGAGGTAGACAGTGTTTTTTTTTTTCTTGAATATGTGTGTGTTTTTTTCTTGTATATGCCCATAGAGGCATGCTTGGATGACTTTGGTGTGCAAAAAAGATCTGACCGCAACACGGTCAACCCCTTTTTTAGAGGATGCAAATTAGGAGCAAGGCCATATTTTCATCACATGCTGTCGGTGTGATTACTCTACTGTATTTTTTCCAGTTCGAGTCAATAGGATAATTTCCCATGTACCTTTAATTTTACCTTTGTATTGAACTTGCTTCAGGCGTTTGTTGTCTTGTTCATGTCTACAGTCACAATTCTTTCTGTTTTATTTGCAGTATAAGGGCCAAGCCAACCTCCATGTGTTTGAGGACTGGTGTGGTTCCTCTGTAGCCCAACTCAGAAAGAACCTGCACTTCCCTCTCTACCCTCATGTAAGTAGCAAGGAGCATACTGCCTGTTCTAATAATACAGGGTTTTGTTTGGGGGTTGGGGGGGGGGGGCTTGGATCTGGTAAGGATTAATACAGTGAAGCCTGACACAGACTTACAATTAACATTTATTTGGAAGCAAGAGATAAAGTGTATGTTTATGTACTGATCAGTTTCAGGAAAGAAAGCAAGTGTCTTGTAAATCCCTTTCTGAATTACCAAGTTGACATTTGCCTTGGGAGTTGCAAAGTGTCACTTGTTTACCCTGAGGGACAAATTAGTCCAAGTAAGTTGTTGGGTAATTCTAAGCAGTTTGCTGTTTTTGCCGAAAATACTTCACGCTGTGGATGATAAGATTTTATTTGATGGCCTCGGGATTCCCATATGAGGAGATTAAAACTCGTGACATCTGCTGCAGGCTGCCAGCAGCAGATTCCATCACTCGTCAGTGTATAATGTGCAGCATAGCCAAAGCTTGTCAAAGTCATCCTTCCTACTACTCCGTCCTAGTAAAGTGAAATAAAACCTTTTCTTCTATCCACCTTATATGAGCTGCCATTTTCATCAAATGTCTATCATGTAACACTACACTGTGAGATGATGTTGATTCTTTCAGTGCATACAACAACAAAAACTGGATGCCTGCCTTCCGAAAAAAATCCTGATAAATGTCTTTGAACAAACCTTTTCCCTGCACTTACTTATAACAAATTAAATGGGAGCCTGGTGCAAAGGCAGTCTATGAATACATTCCATTCGATAGAGAATGACTTGTGTAACTTGGAACCTGAGCGCTCCACTTCAACTCATGATGAACTCCATCGCTTGTTACGGTTGCTAATCTGCGACTGGACACACCCTGCTGATGGGAGGAGTTTAGCACACGGTCACCTTGGGTTCACTCACAGGACTGTGAATGCTTTCGCTTCGATTTCTGCTTCCTGTTGCAGACAAGAACGACTTTGAAGAAGCTGGCCGTGGCTCCCAAGTGGAAGAATTACGGACTGAGAATCTTTGGATTTCTTCACCCTTATCGTGATGGTAAACCAGCTCTTTTTAGTAGCGAGTCCCGGGTCCCTTGCTGTGGGCCTTTGAGCAATTGTCTTTCAAAATTAATGCAGACCATCGCAACAGCCCTAAAAGACCGTAAGATTCAGGATCACTACGAGTGTATAGTCAATCCTCATCACTGGTTGAGCCCTCTGAGCGTAATCTCTCCGCAGTTTCCTAGAAGCACACTCTACTACTGTTACTACGGCAACAGATAAACTCGAAAATCCTAGTAGATGAATTGCTGAATATTATGCTCTTTGTTATATCCTTTTTGGTCTTGGGTGCTCCAAGTTCTCTTTGCCTTAGGAGTCAAGAACAAGTGCCTTAGTGGGGCAAAGTGGAGAATGGGGAATAAGAGTATGTTTGCATTCAAAAGTGTTTTCTTTCCATCTCAAAATGAAGCACCCAAAATATCAGCCACCTTTCAGTATGCATTATATTTAATAAAAGTAAAAATCCAGGTGTGAAAAATAGAGTTTGCTATTGGTTTATTTGCTGCGTACATCATAAAATCCTCTGCAGTGCTCCACGAGTGACAAATCGTAAAAATGGCATTCTTATCTGACATTTTGCCTGGAATATTATTAATTTTGAAAGCTCTCACACTCATAAAGGCCACGTTAGTTATGGTCATAGTTCAAGCGTGCATCCATTTTTTTACAGTACTTTTGTGTTCAGTACATTTTTTGACACCTCTGCCATCATATTTTAAAGTACGTTTCTTCAAACTTCATGGTGTTTTGTGTAAAAAAGGAAACACATTGATGCCGAAGGATACCGTACACAAGGTGGCCTGCGTAGCTGAGGTCAATGGTCAAATTGATATACTGTATATTCTCATGTGTTTTAATCGCAATTTGTTTTATTTTTTTCTTTTACTGCACCCATCGTTTTAATGTTTGATAGCCACGTTTTTGATATTCCTTTTTCATGGGAGTCCACATGAAAACCCAAATAGATGTATTGTCAATGTTTTTTTTTTTTTTTTTTTTAATGACCACGGGATATTCAAATCTAAGACTATTTGATCATCAGAATTCTTCCCATCACCCAAACCCCACATACAGCTTTGGACACCTCTATTCTGATTATTACCACATATACTAAAATGTGTCAAGCTGATCTGATGATATTGTTATTCATAAGATTTTTCAATGGATGGAGACGATGCTCTCCGCAGTAACAAAGGCACCTTGCCACAATACATTACACAGTATATTGTTGCGAGTATTCTTTGACATTGAGATCAAGACTCTTCTTGTAAATGTATTCCATCACACCGTGCCATGTTCTCGACATGCATGACTCTGATCGAGTTCTAAAGAACCGGCGATCTTCCACCTAAAACTTACCTGTTTTACAGCGGTTAGCGCATTTTCTCTAAAACCACACTCACAATCCCTTGGGAAACAATCCCATAAAAATACAATTCCTTCGATCAATTGAAAGCCTCCACTATGTGAGGAGGCATGAGTGTACTACAATATAATGGCTCCCCCACCATGCTTAAACACATTGTTTATGTGCGTGTGTGTGTATCACATACTTTTTCAGGGGATTTCCAGTTTTCAGTCTCATCTGATGATAATTCAGAGTTCTGGCTGAGTCCTGATGAAAGTCCTCTCAACTCCAGGCTGCTGGTCTTCGTTGGACAGGTAAGCAATCAACTGTCACGCCTTCTTCATATCAATATCCCGGTCACAGAAAGACATAAGTTGTTTAATGGTAGCCTGGCTCAGCTGGTCGAGTCCACCTGAAAAACTGCGTATTTGATCCCCACTCGCCCTGTGACCATGTCAGTACTTCACTTCCTCTTGATGATGTGACATCAGTAGGTGAATGAGGTGACCGTGTTGAGGCCATCTGCATCTGCATATGTTCTTTTCTTTGTACTAGGGTTGAGTGATTAGTGACAACAGGTATTGGTATCGGGCCGACACCGCCCTTATTTTAAGTTAGTGATGAGAAACAGGCAGCAAGCTAGGCTAAGCTAAGTTAGTTGAAGAGGCTTAAACACGCATGGAGCAGTCACGGCAATTCAGTGGAAGATGCTTGGCCCCTGTAAAGAAGTGATGGGTGTACTATATAGTCTATGATGGAAATGTAGTTTGTCCAGTGTTTATCCACATAAAAATACCGATTTAAAAGATGCGTTGTTGTTACCTCAAGCAGAAGTTGTCCACTGAGCAGCCGTCTCCAAGCTCCGACAGCTCTGCTTCTTGGAGGCATGCGTTTTTGTGTGAACCAATTTTTGTGGTCCACACAACCAAATGGGTCAATTTTTTTTCCCCAGCCTTCTTATTGAACACGCCTACTTTTAAGCACATCCTCTGAGTCTAAATTGTCCTTTGTTTAAATTGTTACTGCTAAGCAACATTGTTTTTCACAAAGCAAGGAACTGAAACAAACTCTTCAATGAGAAAGGTGCAAAAACACTCACTTGTACTTTTCAGGACAGCTGTGACACATGCCTCTGAATGACATCTAGTGCAATCGATTGTATGGAAAAGAGAGCACTCCTAGAGGTTTTTGATGAATTTGTGGAGCTCCATCAGCTGCAGTTTGCCTGAACATGGGCCATGCATATGGAAGATCATCTGTTCTTTTGTCAGGCATACACAATAAACAGAAGGGAAACAGGGCATCTTAACCTTGTTCGTCCTAACTAACTCACCTCACGTCAAAAGACTAACCTTCCTACGCACATTTCCTTGTGAAGAATCGTTTTTTTCGTCCCCTATTTTGCATACAGCAAGCGCCAAGCGCTTGCCGACCTTCACAAATATAATGTCCTCCGCCCATGTTGTCAATGCAGTCACAATGAGAGCGATGAGCGAGAGAGCAAAGGTCCAACTATGGAATAATCTGCATTCCAACAAGATGTGACATGTCACTAGGTTCCCTGGGAGCGGAGATTAATTAGAAGGTAGTGAATATTGATGTGACATTTATCAGTGGAGAAATATGATGGAGGTAATGTTGGGGGAGCTGTGGCCAGGGATCATTCATTTTGCCATCGGCTGTCACAGCGCTCGTATCCTGTCTTTCCGGGCGTCGCCTTCCAGCTAAGTATTTTAATCCATACTCCTGTCCTCATTTTGTCAGCCATCTGCCTTTGAGTATAGAAAGAGAAGGCTTGGTAGAAGTTTTTTTTTCTTTTTTTCAAAGTCGTTATCGAATAGAGGCAAGTGTGCAATCTTCAATTCTATTCTGTCGTTTATACAGAGTAAAGTTCATCCCCGTTACTGTGCCTTGGATGCTAAATAATTATTGCCTTGAATAAGAATGGCTGCTGTGGGGAATCTATCGAATGAGCTTCTGAATTGAATCATGACTGGAATTATTGTTTACCCTCAATGAATTGTTTCCATGCAGACCTGAGAAGGAGTGTTTGAATCAAACAAAGCATAGAACTTAATTCCTAATGAATAATCCATTCGTATTGTACATACTGAAAAGCTAGACACCAGCTTCCACTTCTCGCTTAAAGATATGAATGAGAATTAAAAGTCACCGTGTTGTTGTTGTCATGAAGATCTCCTACCACAACATTAGGTATGCCTGTACAATTTGCAAGCTTCAAACGCAAGAAGCTTTTGCCTTTACGGAGAAAAGAATGTCATTTTAGATGAAACTGTCAGAGTAATATCAAATTAACAATTATATTAGTTATTGCGTATAATGCGGGGCAGTTCAACATGATCACAATGAACGTGCAAAATAACAAAGGGATTGCGAAAATAATATCTCTCTGGGCGGCATGGTGATGGACTGGTTAGCACCGTTGCTTCACAGTTTCGAAGTTCATCCATCTGTCCATCCATCCATTTCCAACACCGCTTATCCTGAACAGGGTCGCGGGGAGTTGCTGGAGTTTCTCCTAGCTGACTTTGGGAGGAAGGCAGACGACACCCTGAACTGGTCACCAGTCAGTCGCAGGGCACATATGGAGACAAACAACCATCCACACCCACATACACACCGTCGCTGAGTGGGAACCGATCCCACGCTGCCCGCACACAAGTCAGGCGAGTGCACAATACTACACAATCAGCGACATTGCAGTTTAGAAGTTCTGGGTCCAAATCCGGGCTCCGATTTTCCTGTTGTGGAGTTGGCATGTTCTTCCCGTGCCTGCGTGGGTTTTCTCTGGGTACTCCGCTTTCATTCCACACAAAGCATGCATGGTAGTTTAAGTGGTCACTCTAAACGGGCCTTTGGTGTGATTGTGAGCGTGAATGGTTGTTTGCCTTTGTGTGCCTTGCGATTGGCTGGCAACCAGTTCACGGTGTGCCCCGCCTCTTGCCAAAAGAATGTTTGGATAGCCTCCAACACACCCGTGACGCTAGTGAGTGTGTACAGTACAAAGACTTGTCTTGCTGAAATTTTATAAATTATATCAACAATTGACAGTACCGTTTCTCTCACATTACATTCAATGGTTAAAATTGGAATGCGGGGGTCTACCTGATGTTGAGATGGGTAAGTGCATGTACTGTACTTTCCACAGACAAGTAAACAACTCAAAGTCATGCATCGAACTATACATTTGTTCCAGCCTTCAGTTTTACTCAAACAATATAGAGAAGATTTAATGGGACCACCATATATCCGGTGTCCAACAGTGATATAAACATTCTTTTTGTTCACACTCCATACTGCTCCGACACAACTTCTCATTGGGGACAGTCAGCCTAAGCATGTGCTACATTTGTGCCAGACAGTAGAGTAGAGTTTGTCCTTCTGCAGATTAGTTTCTTTGTCCAAATAAAAGCGTAATTGCATTTTGGATTGCAGCAGAGGGAAACGTCCTCAGACTTTCAGCAGCCATTGTGTCTTTTGTTCCAACACACTGCAAAAATGACTGCATTAATTAAAATGTTCTCATCAACTGGTTCCACTCAATTTTTTTCTATGCTAAATGCAAAAACATGGTCATCTAATTAATATGAAGTGAAAAGAAAATGCACATTACTGCTCTTTCATTTTGTGAAATATGTGTGCATGCATCTATTTAAGGAGAGCTGTATGCACTGTGATGGTTCACTGGGCATGTTCAACAAAGACTGAGGGTAGGTACTTGAGTAAGGACTTGCAAATCTAAGTTACAGTGATGATAACATCTGACCTGCTCATTTTGCAAGCCTTTCACCTTTTATGGCCTATTGCAAACGATCAACAAACCATATAGATGTCAAACGAATGCCATGCTCGCATATTCATTTTGAAATTCAACAAAATAACCGATGCTAAACTCAACAAAACAGTTTAGAAACTCTCCAAAAACTACTGGAGGAAGAAGCAATTAGGCGAGCCCAACCTGTTTGTGTCAAAATAACTCAATTTTACCCCAGAACTGTTGTCCCCTAAATGTGGTTTACTTTAATGTGTTAAATAGCACTGTATCCCTAGCTGTCAAACATGTATTAACAGTTTGTCATGAAACTCAAATAGCCTTGCAATGAGAGACTCATGCGTCATGCTTTTTAAGCATTTGCCATCTTTAAAAAAAAAAAAACAGAACTGTTGTCCCCTAAATGTGGTTTACTTTAATCAAGCAAATCCCATCTTATATACATACAGCAGCTATGTACCATAAAGACTTCATTTTTCTACCAAGAGTGTTAAATAGCACTGTATCCTTAGCTGTCATACATGTATTAACAGCTAAAAAAAAAACTGTACTTACCTCTATGCAAATGAGGCAAAGTAAGCATATTTTTTCATGAGGCCAAATTAAATAAAAAATACCTGCATGGTTGTTCATCTATGCACAGTGCGTGCGTGCGTGCGTGCGTGCGTGCGTGCGTGCGTGTGTGTGTGATGGTCTGTCTGTTGCACTCACGATTCCTGGCCACTTTTTAATTTACCTTCTGCCTGCTCTAGCGTAAGGATGCTGCTCTCAGTAAGTAGTGAGTTGTTAGGGAAATATCATGCTTGCTTGCATGTAAATATTGCACGTGTTCAAACATTTTAATCTTACACTAAAGTACCGCCATTAACCTTCAGCTAAGGAAGATAAAATGCATCACTCATGAAATCAATTGAGTAACCGTCAGATAAAAGAGAAAAAAATGGTCATAAACACAAGAAACCTACTTTTTTTTTGGGGGGGGGGGGTACCTGTAATTAAAGGTGTTGTTCCTACTAGGTTTATGTTGAATGTTAATGCTTAATGTTAAAATGTGACAACATCATTTTGGGTACCATTACAGGAATCAAATGTCACTTAATCAGAAATACATTCATCAGTTTTATCTTTCCTTCTCCACCCTGATTTATAGAATTGAATCCCATTCAGCTTCTCCCTCGTGACTTGCTATATTTCATTGCTGTACGGACTAATTTTTTGTTTCCATGTACTGTTTGATGATTGAAAGGTGATGAATTTCCTCCCCAGCTAACTTGTGCTGAGGTTCTGGTTTTCTTTAGTTTTGATCTGTGAGTTATTCAACATGCACTTAAGGTTTGCCAGGTTTCTCTTCTGAAACCCTCAATATGGTCTAGTCTTTTTAAGCATTATTCCTCCAAAGCCAAAAAACCTGAGAAGAAATTCTGTTGCTCTACTTTCTGCGGTTGTCGCTGCCACTAGTGAGCTGATCAAAACATCATGAAAACTTAAAAGTACCCTGAGAAGGTTGGAGTTTTTTCAGTGCACTCAAGTCAGCTTTAGTGATATGTATTTAAATAACATGCATGTGATATCCTTTCATTTCATGTTCTTCCCGATTGAGAATTCAATTATACTGTTCACACTTCTCTCCCGGGAATTATCCTGTATTTAGGGGACAACCGTGTATCACACAAAGTGACTGTTTGCTCGGCCCTACATACGACGGGCCAATGTCTAGTCCGGCTTTCGTTACTATGGCAACCGAGGAAGAAATGCTGGCATTGCGACTAAAGCCGGTTTGACTTGTGGAAGCCTAGAGCGTGGAAAAAAAGTAGCCACCAAGTCACTTCATTATTATTTATTTATTTATATATGTATTTATTTACTCATGAAAGCAACACTATACACCAAACTGTGTGTATGTGGCTCTTGGACACATCACCAAGCACAAATAGTCCGGCCCCACAGCCCCCGGTGAAAAAAAACAAACAAACCCCCAAATGCAGCTCTGTTTATGTTTTTGCTTTGACAGAATAGTACTTGTGGGTTGTGTGGCGGGTGGACTCCAACTATTTTTTTAACGTGGCTTTAGATTTGAGAAAAGTAAATTTTTCATCATAGGTTTCTTGAAAGAAAAAGTTTCAGTTTTTCTAGAAATTACAATCAAATGTGCCAGGAGGACATAACATTTGCCAAGCATTGAGACCGGTTGAAACCAGCTTTTGTGCAGTTTTTATGCATTTCTTTATGGTATATTTTCAGACCAGACCTCTACATTATACCAACAATCAACATGCATTAATGCAAAATGTCAAATGAAGGGGCCTGCACACTGCCCTCAAATCAGACCCTTGCCGATGTATTTTTCAGAAGTCATACTGACACGTCTTCAGAAACCCCTTTCAATTATTTTTGCGCCATAGTGGAGTTCAGATTTTTGGTCCTTAATAATGAATGGATCATCCGCCTTCACTGACCACTATCACTGCAAATATCAGATTCGTGTGTGATTTGTGCTCACATATAATTGAATCTGGCATCTGGAAACCAATTCTGTGTGTTTTTTGCACATGGAAATTGATAGTCAAGGAGAACACACTAACATTTTGTATCCATCTCTGAAAGCTTCTTCCATCAACACTGAGAGATACTGAGCTGAGAGAGTGCTGATACTGTGTTATTGATGGTTAGCACAGCGTTAATATATTCCCTGGTATCCACTGAGTTGTACTCTGCTCTTCCATATTTGCTGTATTTTTCATATCCCCTCTTTTGTGATCCACTCACACTTCTGATTCTGATGTCATGACTTGTCTCTTGCAGTTGGGTACAGAGTGGACCGCTCCAGGCGAGTTCAACAAATTCAGGTCTCAGTCCTCAAAGTCTGTGCAGTAAGTACCTGTGACATGCTCACTTTTTTTTCCAAGCAGCCAATTTCCTCTGAACAACTATAAAGCAACCAAAGGCTAACTTTTGCTTAGTATCAAGAGCGCCCTCCATTGTCAAAAGTAGTAAATAGTCGTCACAAATCTCTGAAAATAAATTGACATGCCTCTCTTGGTGAGAGAGAGAGAGAGAGAGAGAGAGAGAGAGAGAAACAGAAAGAGAGAGAGAGAGAGAGACACACACACACACACACACACACACAAACACACACACACACACACACACTCACCTTATTCTCTCTTACGCTTTGTGTGCATTGTGTAAATGTAACCTCCTCACTAAATGCAGCAGAACGTTCTGACTGCTTGCTAAGAGTTAAATAAAAGAAAAAATGGAAATGGGTCTCAGGGCGGCGGCACGGTTGTCCAGTGGTTAGCGCGTCGACCTCACAGTGCAGAGGTACCGGCTTTAATTCCAGCTCTGGCCTCCCTGTGTGGAGTTTGCATGTTCTCCCCGGGCCTGCGTGGGTTTTCTCCGGGTACTCCGGTTTCCTCCCACATTCCAAAACCATGCATGGCAGGCTGATTGGACACTCAAAATTGCCCCTAGGTGTGAGTGCGAGCACGAATGGTTGTTTGTCTCTGTGTGCCCTGCGATTGGCTGGCAACCGGTTCAGGGTGTCCACCGCCTACTGCCCGAAGACGGCTGGGATAGGCTCCAGCACCCCCGGCGACCCTTGTGAGGATAAGCGGATCGGAAAATGGATGGATGGATGGGTCTCAGGGCTGTGGCTTGGTGTGCAAGGTGACTTAAGTCGAATTTGTCTCCGTGTGAATGCTCACATGCTTGAGGGGAACAACTTCAGAAGATACCGTGAATGTTCGATCTGAACATAATTAGGCAACATCTTGTTTGATGTTCTTCATGTGGGCCTGTGTCCTAGGGCATATATTCATGCTTTCCTGCACAAGCAAATGTGCACATGTTAACTACATTCTTTTGAGGTCATTATATCACAAAGGCAGCATTGTTGATAATGGATTTGTCTGACTTTTGAGTTTGCTGCCTCCTTTCCACGGTTCGCATTTAGAGGAACAGAAGAAAGGTCAACAACTGTATTTGATAAGGTCAGGAGTGATTTTGTGTCTCCGTGACACAAAGGGCAATGACCATACCAGCATCTGCCATGCTCATTGTGTTCTGTGCATGTATTTCATTTGCATCTCTTTACCCATTTCAAGAACTTTGTTCAGCATCCATGACTTTGATGCTGAAAATTGGTCACTAGTGCATAGTTCCAATTTTTTGATCCAGTAATAGGCTTTCAGAATCACATCCATTTCCTCACAGTTGCATCATTGCCCTATTGCAATATTATATATTTTTCTTATTGTTAAAAGACTATTGGGAGCCATTTAGACAAGATTCTTGTGTGGAAACATAAATGAGTACACCCCCGTTGAAAAGTACAAACATGCATTTCTAAACTCAGCTGTGGTTTTATCATCTCAAATTTTGTAATTGCCAGTTTCAAAAATACATTAAATGAGTTAGTTGATTGATCTGTGTGCATATAAATCTCATTTGCAATCAATGGCCTACATTTATGGGAATACTTTGTAGAATAGACTATGCCATTAAAGAAAATGTTTAATTAAAAAAAAACTAAAGGTTTTATAACGTCGTCGTTATGTAGACTATTCCTTTATAGTTGATGCTGCATTTTTCTTAATTTTTGGTGAGGATCTGGCATACTTTTGACATTTGCACAGTACATTATTCTTGCAAGATTTTGTGTATGTTGGGCGGTTATGTGCAGAGCAGGATTAATTAATACTAAAGCAAACATTATTCTTCAAATTTGGTGGGATAGTAATGAATTGAGCAAATTAGCAGTGCTCACTTCGTAAACATGTCTTTGCATCTGAGAGTGTGTATGACAAAGGACATTTTATCCCATGCAATTTGCAATATTCTTAAACTAGCACTCTCAGGTTCTGAACTGAGCTGAATAATAATTTTGGATTCAAGAAATGCAGACTCAGACAAAGTGCGATAACAAAAATATTTATTCGAGAAAAGCGCACCAAGAAAGTACAAACTGAAATCACTGGTGACAAGGAGCCAGGGAAAAACAATGCAAGGTACAAGAAAACACCGAGAATACATAAATGAAATATCAGGTAGTCCAACAACACAAACCCAAAGATCAAGGTCGATAAAAAGGAATAATGACAATACTTACAAAGTTCTATGACAGAACATGTGACTATGAAAAATATCGAGAGGTCTAGAATTAAACACTTGAAGCACAACAAGCGAGCAAGGTCAACAATCCGACAGAGACTAGGCAACTTGGCAGTCCTTAAATACTTGGCAAGGCTTGGTGGGGAAACGCGGAACACGTGCGCCTGCTCTAGGGAAACACCCTTCACTCCAGCTGGAGCTGAAACACAATCGAAACAGACAGAACATGACAAGCAAAAAAATAATTCATTAAATATGATTAAAATACGGGCGATACGGTGGTCGTCTGGTTAGCACATCCGCCTTACAGTGCAGAGGTACAGGGCTCGATTCCGGCTCCGGCCTTTCTGTGTGGAGTTTGCATGTTCTCTTGGTGTTGCATGTTTTCTCCGGGTACTCCGGTTTCCTCCCAGATTCCAAAAACATGCATGGCAGGTTGATGGAACACTCTAGATTGTCCCTCGGTGTGAGTGAGAGCGCGGATGGTTGTTAGTCTCTGTGTGCCCTGCGATTGGCTGGCAACCAGTTCAGGGTGTCCCCCGCCTTTTGCCCAAAGACAGCTGGGATAGGCAGCACCCCTCGCAACCCTTGTGAGGATAAGTGGATCGGAAAATGGATGGATGGATGATTAAAATATGTGACATGAATTTGACTGTCACTCGCTAGATTGAAAAAATCAGTTTTTATGAATGAAAAGTTCATTAGCAATGCCCATGCAAACTCCCGTACAGTACTGTACATTCAGGGCCATTAGAGACTGTTTACAGTCTTCACTCAACACAGTCTTTATCCAGCCTCTGAGTTTATGCCCTGTTGTTCTAGATCAGATTTCATTGACAGGCTGAAGTAGCATAAAAGAAAACTAGCTGAGTGTGGGTCACACAAGAACACACACAAGACTGGTGAGCATCATTTGCTGATGTTGTTATGAAAAAAAAAACCCCAAAAAACACAACAACACTTATCTGTTAGGCTTTCCGTTTCTTTTCTCATGCTTTGTAGCATGGTTATTTATGTCACGGATCGCTGGAGCTGCACAGCAGCGGCAGTTAAGTGAACAGTGACTAATGGCTTTTGTAAGCCTGAATCATATTGTCAGGGAACGAAGCATTGTGCGGTTGAGGGCTTCACAAGAAACAATTCACTCGCCTGTCAGAGGGCTCATAGATGTAGTCTAGAGGTGTTGAATCCTTGCCACACGCTGCGCCCCGCAACACCACGCAAGCACGCACACACACACACACACACACACACACACACACACACACACACACACACACACATGCACGAGCGCAGGTTAATCTGTGTTGGACACCTGGAGTCTATTAAATGATAACTTTTCGTCAATTCATCAATAAATCAGTGATTGTGCTATTGGCCTTTAATATGCCAAACTAAAAATATTTTTTCTTCCAAGAGACCTTTAATAATTGTAGTGGTTCATCTTTATAGGAACAGTTTGGAGAAGGCCTTTGTGTGCCATGACTGTGTGCTAATGCGCACAGCACGGTCCATAAAGGAATGCCCGGATGAATGGATAAACTTTCTACGTCCGTGTCTGCGCATGAGGACTGTTGTGAACAAATGGCATCCGAGCAACCCAAGACCTCTATCAAGTGGTCGGAATGTTTTATGATAGGGTTACGCTTCACCAAACTGCACCGTCAATACAATTGCACAGGTTTTCATTTCATCAAACCAAATCTGACAATGGTGAACACGACATCATTTTGCATGTCCTCTTCTGAACTTCGGATCTGCACCAGAATCAGAGGAAAGTGAAACAGTGAAACAACAATGAAACATAAGCTCTTGGTCAGAGGAAATGAATGCAGAAAAAGATGACGATCTTCTGAAAGGCAAACTGTTTCCAATGAATTGAGAAGAGAAGATCAATTCGAAAGTCTGCATTTTAAATCGATTCCATTGTTATTTTTGTGATTCAAAGACCGTGACGGTGACAGTGAGGTGAAGTGATAGTTTGGCACTGTCTGCGCTGGGTCACAGGCGACACTTTAGCTGTCAGATGAGGAACCCAGATAAGTCAGACAACAGTATCTCTGTTCTCTGACATAGCAGTTGGAGCCTTGGGCTATGTAGACGGCACTGACTGTTCGCTAAAAATGTCCATATGTGAATGTACCTCGTTGAATACTAACTTTGCATCTGCGTCTTCATTTACGCAACACGGCGGGATGGGATTGACAATTAGCGGAAGATCAGAAGGAATATTTTGTAAAACATACTGGAAAGCAATTAGCGCTGACTGAATCCTGAGCCAGAGTTGCAGGGGGAAAAATAATCTGTGATCATTTGACAGCCATTTGCAAGCATGGTGGATTTCGCCTGTTCTTGTTCAAGAAGTGAAACTGAAAAGCAGGAGCTGACCTGTGACTGTGGCGTGCTGAGGAGCAACAGCAGAAGAGCATTCCAAGGTTATCTGTGATGCTGCAGCTGGCATTTTGAAGGAGTCCAAGAACTGGGGGAAATGGCATTTACGCCCGACCCTCCTCAGACATGTGGGCAATGATGTGACTTCTTCTCTTCCTGCATTGTATGCACGCGTGTGAATGTGCGTGCACTCTTGAATCCCCCTCTGCCTTTCTACTTTCTTCCCCCCTCTTCTTCTCCTGTGTCTTTACCCTTTACTCCCAAGCATTTTGCATCCTGGAAACATGGGATTTCTTTTCTCATGGATCATGTCGAAAGTTGGATGGAGAGCTTTTTTCCCCAGTCAGTGTCAGTGAGTGAAACTGAA